TGGAAAAGCAATAGAGGACCTCTGCAGAATCAAACAGGTATGATCAGTTTCTTGGTAGTAATGTGGGAATACAGTATAATTTGAGCTTTAATGAATGCTGTTAAATTTTAGTCTGTTATAAGTCTAAAGACAACAGGTCTTCTGTTTCACTTAAAAATTATTTATATTATTGTAGAAACAAAAGTTTAAAGTGATTGGGCTGTTTTATAAGGTGCACCTTGGTTGACCTGTTAATATACTACAGATTTACATGCACATGTGGCAGAACACTGAAAATCCCCATGCCTTTTCATCCAAGGTCGACCTCGACTCTCGTCACATGGGCTGGGTGACAAGTGAGCTTCCTGGAGGGGATCATCTTGTCATCAAGGTGGAACTGAAAGGTCCGGAGAACACCCTGAGAGTGCGCCAGGTAAAGGTCCTCGGTTGGAAAGAGGGTGAGAGCATCAAGATTCTAGGACAGATCTCAGCCAGCATGGCCCAGCAAAAGAACTGCGAGGCCGAGACGCTCCGAGTGTTTCGTCTCATCACCTCACAGGTCTGTCTAACTGCTTTATCCAAGTTATTTTTCTATTACCATATTGTTAAACCTTTACATTTTGCAAATATTACATTTCTGGTGCAAATAACTGTGGTCTCTTGGAAACTTCATTGTTGCTACTTTGTTCTTTACCTTTAGGTCTTTGGAAAACTTATTTGCGGAGATGCAGAGCCGACTCCAGAGCAGGAGGAGAAAAACCTGCTTTCATCACCCGAGGGAGAAGACAAGGTGACAGTTTAACTGTACTGTTTCACTGACTCAAATATATAGGGACCGTCAACCAAATGTTTTACACTTGATGTGTTTTCATGAATAGGCACCATCTGACGCAGATCTTAAGGAGCACATGGTGGGAATCATTTTCAGCAGGAGCAAACTGACCAACCTTCAGAAACAGGTAAATGTCACTTCTTCGAACCATTCAACAGGATGAGTAATTATAATCCCTGTGCTAACCTAATGAGTGTATTTATTTCCAGGTGTGTGCGCACATTGTCCAGGCCATCCGTATGGAGGCCACGCGTGTGCGGAGGAGTGGGAGCACGCCATCTCTAGTAAAGAGAACGCTAACTCCCAGCCCAGCGACGACGACGCATCCTCAGACGCCTACTGCTTTGAGCTCCTCTCCATGGTCCTGGCTCTGAGTGGCTCCAACGTTGGCCGCCAGTACCTAGCTCAACAGCTAACACTCATGCAAGACCTGTTTTCTCTGCTGCACACGGCTTCCCCGAGAGTACAGAGACAGGTGGGCAAGGGGTACACACACGCACAGCTATAGACGGAGTCACGGGCAGTTTAGTGTTTAAATGTACCCTGTTGAGTTTTCCTTATAAACAAACAAATATGTTCACATTAACTGCTTCTCAACATACATATTGAAGACATATTCTTCCTTGTAAAAATTTGCAAAGCTACTTTTTAAAATACTTTAAAACCTGGTTTGTTTACATCCATGTTAGACAGCCTTTCCTGCATTTCAGCCAGTTGCTTGTTAAGTCAAAGGCAACTGGACTTTGTTTAGTTCTGGATGAGAGGTGAAATGTCTTCTAGGATCTTCAACCATTTCCAGTGCCCTTGATTTAGCCTTCTTGGAGAACTATGCCATATTACCACCACCAACTGTCAATTGGTGGAATAGCATGAAACTGACAGCAGGGATGTATTTTGTGTCTCTTGGGTGCTCACATCAGTGCTTGTATGTCCTTTTGTACGCCAAAATCCCCTCTTAGAAAATGCAGATCCACAAGTCCGCATTTTCTAAGAGGTGCTGTTGGCGGATCCACATAGGCTGTTCTTCTGTTAGTTTGTATGGACTGTTTATATGATGGATGCCATTATGTTTAATTTTTTACGACTGACACATCAAAACGTGTTTAAAATCAGTATTCAGTAGGTTAGGAGTGTAAAATGTACCATTGTAGTGTCAGCCTATTTGCATATATAGATATATGGGTGCACATACATGACCAACTGGTTTGGAGTCAGTGTGCCGGTATAACACATACTTTAAAAAAATTTGTTTTTTAAGCAGTTTTTATGTGTGCACGTGTTTATGTAAATATCAAGTGACACTATACAATTAATATTCTTGTTTACCATCTGATCTTATCTCAACTCAGGTCACATCATTGCTTAGGCGCGTCCTTCCAGAGGTTACACCAGTGCGACTTGCCAGCATTATTGGGGTGAAGGCTCTGCCACCAGCGGACATCAGTGACATCATCCACTCCACAGAAAAGGGTGACTGGAACAAGCTCTGCATCCTTGACATGTTCCTGGGCTGCATCGCAAAAGCCCTCACTGTGCAGCTGAAAGCCAAAGGCACCACCATCTCTGGCACAGCCGGCATGGCGGCGGGCAAAGGGGTCACCACGGTCACGCTGCCCATGATCTTCAACTCCAGGTGAGTTAGTTTTTGCTAGGCCTAATCAATATTTGGATTATCAAAGAGATGTTGTTATATAAGACATAAGGCGTTTTCACACATATAGTTTGTTTGCTGTGGTCCGAATCAGTTGATGAGTTTGTAAACTTGGAGTGGTTTCCCCTTGGTTCAGTTTCTTTTTACACAGAGAGAAAATCCAAGTGAGCGAAAATGCATCACTACTAACTTCTAATCACTCCGCTTATTGGTCAGATGTGTCTGGGGCGGCAGCAAGAAGGTAAATACAGGTAGAAGGTCCTGTGTTCTGGACTAGTGTATATTTCTGTGAGAGAAACACTTCTGTGCAGTATAACATGGAGCAATGCCACAGTTGATCATAACCATGGTAATAATGTGGGCAATATAGCAGTCAAAACTATACCAGCAGAATGCCGAATGGACTTCATAGGAAACTATACTGCTTCACACTTTGCAAAGAAGTCGTGCTGCCTTCGGACGACTGAGCAGAGCAGGGGAACTAATATTGGGCATGTACAACAACATGCCAACCAACCGTCAACATGTTAAACCAGAAGTGAAGCGAAATATGTTAATGGTAGTTGGGTCGGATCATGTCCCCACCACAGACTGCTACAGAGTTTGTTTGGGCCCGGACTAAAACCACCTCCTGTCCTGTCAGAGGTCTCGGTGCGGTTGTTTGGCCCGCATAAGAGTTCAATGGACAGATTGAAACGAACTGTACTAATCTGGCAAACGCACCAGGATTCGTTTTTAACCTAAAGCACCCTTAAAACAACACAACATCAATTAAGATATAGTTTGTGGCAAATTTGATATTTAATACCCCTTTCTCTCATACGCAGCTACATCCGCAGAGGGGAGAGCCACTGGTGGATGAAAGGCTCCACTCCTCCTCAGATAGCAGAGATCATCATAAAGCTGGTTAAAGACATGGCAGCTGTAAGTTCCTGTTGTTTAAATCCTTATCTTGATATGGAACAACATTCGTCATCTTTGTCATAAATTTCACATTTTCACGAGTTGTATTGCTCTGGAAAAAGTACCTCTAAGACAGACATTTGCTGTTCTTAGGGTCACCTGTCAGATGCTTGGTCCCGAGTCACCAAAAATGCAATAGCTGAGACCATCATAGCCTTGACCAAAATGGAGGAGGAGCATCGGTCACCTGTACGCTGTATCGCCACCACAAGGGTAGGAACTCACCTGTCATCATACGCAAAGCATTTATGTGCATATGTATCTATATTTACAAATACTGGGAATCAAATAAATATATGTCAAATCCCGTTCTGTCTCATAGCTGTGGCTGGCCTTAGCTTCACTGTGTGTGCTGGACCAGGACCATGTTGACAGGCTGTCCTCTGGTCGCTGGATGGGCAAAGATGGACAGCAGAAGCAGATGGTGAGAACGATATAAAAAGCTATGAGCTATGCCATGTGAAAATAATCAACAGGTAATCAAAAGAATAGCACATTGATTTCCTCATCCTTCTATCCACAGCCCATGTGTGACAACCATGATGATGGTGAGACAGCAGCCATCATCCTGTGTAACATGTGTGGCAACCTCTGCACCGACTGTGACCGCTTCCTCCACCTGCACCGACGCACACGCTCTCACCAGAGACAGGTTAGTGTTGGATGGCACACCTTCCATATTGTTAGCATGATTCTGCCGGTTCTTCCGGTAGTTTTAACTGCCAATTAGTTGGATATTACGAACCAATTTATAAAAAGGATTTATAAATTTCTAAAAGGAATATGGTATAGAATGAGTTGGTGTGTAATCTTATTTTCATGGCTGCTTTCAGGTGTTCAAGGAGGAAGAGGAGGCCATAAAGGTGGATCTCCATGAAGGCTGTGGGAGAACCAAGCTCTTTTGGCTCATGGCTCTGGCAGACTCTAAGACTATGAAGGCTATGGTGGAGTTCAGAGAGCACACGGGTAATTAACCTGGCGCAAGAGCATTCCACTGTGTGTGTCTGTACGCAGGATGGATGGATGGGTGTGTCTGTGTCTATATATATATATATGTGTGTGTAATATGCAAATT